TAGTATTCTGGCCTGGAGAATTCCATAGACTGTATGGTCCATGAGGTGGCAGAGTCGGACATGACTGAGCAACTTTCACTTTCTTTATTTCATTAGCCAGCCAATTATCTTTTAAACCAGTGAAAAATAAGGAAATTTCATATTTACTTTCATTTATTTCCTATTTCCTACTCATTTTTCTTTGTGTTGATACAGTTATTTTGTTTGATAACTTATTTCCTTCAACCTGAAGTACTTTCTTTCACCCTTTTATGTAGTATACGTTTGCTTCTCTGTTTTTATTTTCCTGAAAAAGTCTACTTTTTCTCTTTAAAAGGTATTTTCACTGGGAATAGAATTCTCAGCTTTTTTTTCCTGTCTTTAATTGCTTTAGAATTGTCATTCCACTGCTGTGTGGTTTATGTAGTTTTCAATGAGAAATGTTTTTCTCAATGTGATGCATCCTTTTTCCTCTGGCTGCCTTAAAGGTTTTCTTTTTATCTTTTGCTTTGAATAGCTTGGATACGATTTGTCTAGCTGGTTTTGGGGAGTTAAAACTGTGATTGTCCTACCTGTTCTCTGAACAACTTATATCTGTGGTTTTGTGTCTTTATTTTATTTTATTTTTCCATTTATTTTTATTAGTTGGAGGCTAATTACTTTACAATATTGTAGTGGTTTTTGCCATACATTGACATGAATCAGCCGTGGATTTACATGTGTTCCCCATCCTGAACCCCCCTCCCACCTCCCTCCCCATCCCATCCCTCTGGGTCTTCCCAGGGCACCAGCCCTGAGCACTTGTCTCAGGCATCCAACCTGGGCTGGTGATCTGTTTCACCCTTGGTAGTATACTTGTTTCAATGCTGTTCTCTCAGAACATCCCACCCTCGCCTTCTCCCACAGAGTCCCAAAGTCTGTTCTCTACATCTATGTCTCTTTTTCTGTTTTGCATATAGGGTTATCGTTACCATCTTTTTAAATTCCATATATATGCGTTAGTATACTGTATTGGTCTTTATCTTTCTGGCTTACTTCACTCTGTATAATGGGCTCCAGTTTTATCCATCTCATTAGAACTGATTCAAATGAATTCTTTTTAATGGCTGAGTAATATTCCATTGTGTATATGTACCATAGCTTCCTTATCCATTCGTCTGCTGATGGGCATCTAGGTTGCTTCCATGTCCTGGCTATTATAAACAGTGCTGCGATGAACATTGGGGTACACATGTCTCTTTCAGATCTGGTTTCCTTGGTGTGTATGCCCAGGAGTGGGATTGCTGGGTCATATGGCAGTTCTATTTCCAGTTTTTTAAGGAATCTCCACACTGTTTTCCATAGTGGCTGTACTAGTTTGCATTCCCACCAACAGTGTAAGAGGGTTCCCTTTTCTCCACACCCTCTCCAGCATTTATTGTTTGTAGACTTTTGAATAGCAGCCATTCTGACTGGCGTGTAATGGTACCTCATTGAGGTTTTGATTTGCATTTCTCTGATAATGAGTGATGTTGAGCATCTTTTCATATGTTTGTTAGCCATCTGTATGTCTTCTTTGGAGAAATGTCTGTCTAGGTCTTTGGCCCATTTTTTGATTGGATCATTTATTTTCTGGAATTGAGCTGTAGGAGTTGCTTGTATATTTTTTAGATTAATCCTTTGTCTGTTTCTTCATTTGCTATTATTTTCTCCCATTCTGAAGGCTGTCTTTTCACCTTGCTTATAGTTTTTTTCACCTTGCTTACAGATTTTGTGTCTTTATTAGTTTTGGAAAATTCTCAACCTTTATCTTTTCATCTATTCTGTTCCATTCTCTTTTACTTCTTGGATTTCAGTTGCATGTATGTTAAATCATTTGGTATTTTCTCACAGCCTTTGGATTTTCTGTTTTGTTCCCTCCCAATCTCCATATGTCTCCCCCTGTGTTTTGTTTGGATAATCTCTAACTTGAGCCTGATGAGTTTGCTGTTGAGCCATTCCAGAGCTTTATAAAACTCTATTTGTATGTTTTTCCTTTGTCAGTATGTGAGGTTTTGGGTTTTTCTCTGCTTCCCTGTGTGACTTATAATTTGTGGTGGGAAGATAGATGTTTTATGTAGGACAGTAGAGACTTGAGCTAAACAGTATTTATGCCTGGCTGAGTCTTCAGCACAAGTAGTTGAGTCAGTCTAGTCTTAGTTGAGCTGGGTTTTTAGTGTGTTGTTATGACTGCCCGCAGTGCACACTACAGGCTTCAAATTCCACACTGAGGTTACCTCTTTTAGATTAGAGGCCCGTTTGCCAGGGGAGATTTGTAATGTCTGCTCTACCTTTAACTTGTGATCTTATTTTCTCTTTGGTACTGTACCTCAGAGAAGATCTCTCCACACTCTTCCCTCTCCTTCAGCGGTAGACTGCTGTTATTGATTGCCCAGTGTCTGCTAGCACAGTGGTGGAGGTGGGTGAGGGGTACCAGGGTGGGGGATTCTCTGTTGTCCTGTTGCTGTCTCAGTTTTAGGCGGTCCTTACGTCTCTGCAACTTGGAGGGCGAGACTTTCTCACTGATTCTGCCGCTTGTCAAATGGCAGGGGCCTTTTAAAGGTCTGTGGCTATGATGTTTTCCTGACCTCCCTCAGGGGTGGAGGGTGCCTTCCTCTTGGGCAGTAAAGAGCCTGCCTGCAATGCTGGAGACCCAGGTTCCATCCCTGGGGTGGGAAGCTCCCCTAGAGAAGGAAATGGAAACCCACTCCGATATCCTTGCCTGGGAAATCTCATGGACAGAGGAGCCTGGTGGGCTGCAGTTCATGGGGTTCACAAAAGAGTTGGACATGAATGAGGGACTATTACTTTTTCCCCTGGTTATGCAGGGCCCAACTCGAAATAGTTATTCTACAAAATATACTTGTTGCATTCTTTTTATGTTTTGTATATTCTGATTTGGAAACATCTCCCTATGCTAGTTTTTGCTGAGTTTGCTATCAGTGGCACTGTAGACACACAGTTTTTAGCATCAGCTGTCATAGTGTTATTAAATATATTTATAAATATCATTTAATGAATATGTATTTTCATATGTTGACTCTTTAAGTTTTATTCCTTGAATTATCTTTTAATCATGTATTTTAATGACAAATTCTTCTTGGCAGATACTAGGTCAGGTTTTTTTCTTTTTTAAGCCACACAGTACTTCTCACACCAAATGTGTGAGGTTTTTCCCCCACATCAATCAGTTCTCCAACTCTCTGGACATCAGCTGGGTGTCCTATAAATCAATTCATTTCTGATACTAACTACCCAGAGTTAGGCAGATGCCCAGGTCTGCCCCCCACTTCAGAAGATGCCAGTTTCAGGCCCCCAACTTCTTCTACTTCTGACCAATCAGCTGTAAGTCAGGGATTCCCATGTATCCCTCCTGGGATTCAGTAATTTGCTAGAAAGGGCCCACGGAGCTCAGGAAGGCATTTTATTTCCTGTTACCAGTTTACTATAGAGGATACAAGTCACAAACAGCCAGATGGAAAGAGATGCATGGGATGGTGGATAGCGTGGGGGCGGGGGGACAGTTCGGAAGGAGATGGTGCACAGTACTTCTGTGTCCTGGTGTTCCATCCTTGCACCATGATATGTTCACCAACACACCCATAGTTTAGGGCTTCTTCTGGAAGTTCCATTACGTAGGCATGGTGGTGATTAGTTCCGTCTTCACCCCTTTGCTCCTTCCCTGACTCTGGAAAGTGGGGCTGAAAGTTCTAACCCTCTAATCATATCATTAGTTCCTCTGACTACCAGCGCCCATTCTAAAGCTTTGTAAGGACCCACCAAGGGTCACCTTATTAGCATAAATTCAGGTGTGGTTTAAAGAGCCTTATTATCAATAACAAAAGATGCTCCTTTCATCTGTGGTGGTGGTGGTAGTGGTTTAGTCGCTTAAGTCGTGTCCAGCTCTTGTGACCCCATGCCAGGCTCCTCTGTCCTTGGGATTCTCCAGGCAGGAATACTGGAGTGGGTTGCCATTTCCTTCACCTTTCATCTGTACCACTCTGGAAATTCCAAAGATTTTAGAAGCTCTTGCGTTGTTTTTTTTTGGAACCTGGCAGAAGACCAAAATGCGTTTGTTATATGACAGTATCACACTAGGCTCTCAACACAGAGCTGTTGAATAAATGAATTTATGTGACTGCTGTTACTGTCACTTTCTTATGAATCGATTTTCTTCTTTATTTCTGATTATTATAATATTCAATTTTCAGAGTATAAAAATGTCTTTATTTTCTTTTTTTTTACTTAAAAGTTGAATATATCTCGGAGAAGGCAATGGCAACCCACTCCAGTACTCTTGCCTGGAAAATCCCATGGACGGAGGAGCCTGGTAGGCTGCAATCCATGGGGTCTCAAAGAGTCCAACAAGACTGAGCGACTTCACTTTCACTTTTCGCTTGCATGCATTGGAGAAGGAAATGGCAACCCACTCCAGTGTTCTTGCCTGGAGAATCCCAGGGACGGGGGAACCTGGTGGGCTGCCGTCTATGGGGTCACACAGAGTCAGACACAACTGATGTGACTTAGCAGCAGCAGCGGCTGCAGCGGCATGTTAATTAGGTGCATTTATATATTGTAGTATAGTTGCCATTGTATTTCTGAACATCTATTTACAGAATGTTGATTTTTCAAATCAAAATGATGTGTAGACATTTAACAGAGTTGAAGGAGTTTCTCTGGTCAAAATTCTCACCACATTATGGGACTGTTGAAGGGCAGGAACTTACCTTCTCGGGCTTTGATGAGGACTCCCAAGAGAAAGGAAATTCAGCGTGTCAGCCAGTGGTGCATATACTTCAGGGTGGACACAGTATGTTCTTAACTGAGTGTGATAACAGGCATAAGGGAGGAAGATGAGGGAGACGTTTAACATCACTGCACCGAAGTTTACCAGGACCTTGTTTGGAGATGGAGACAAGATTTATTAAAGGTGATGGTACCAGCCTCAAATTCCTCAACAACTGAAACGTCTAAGGTTGGCTTTACCATTTATTTTCTCCTAGGTGATTTACTGTTCTTTTGGTGGAACATCCAAAGGACTGCACTTCAATAACTTAATAGTTGGACTTGTCCTTCTTACAAGAGGCAGAGATGAAGAGAAAGCAAAATGTAAGTACTTTTATTATCTCAAAATGTTAAAATACTACTTTTATGTACAGAATAATCTACCTCAAAATTTTGATGACTGTCAAAGGATTTGAATTGATGTTTCTTCAAAGAAGATATACAAATAGCCAATAAGCACTTGAAAAAATGTTAAACATAAGTAGTTATTTGGGAAATGTAAAGTAAAATTACAATGAGATACCGCTTAAGTGTAAGATAGATAATGCAGCCGTTTTGGAAAACTTAACTGGCAGTTTCTCAAACTGTTGAACATTGAGTTTTCAATTTCATTCCTAGATATATACCCAAGGAAACTGAAACCATATATTCATTCAAAAAAAGTTCATAACAGCACATTCATAATGGTTACAAAATGGAAACAATCCTAATGCCCATCAACTGATGCATTTATCATAAACAAAGTGTAATATAACCAGCAGTAGAATATTGCTTGACAGTAGGAAGGAATAAGTACTGTGAAAGAGCAGAAAAAACTTCCTTTTTAGGTTCTTTGGCTGATTTAATAATTAAGTTGATGTAAGACAGATTAACAGGAGAAAACCAAACACTTTTCACATGTACATATTTGTTGTAGTCTTTCATTATGGCTTTTCTTCCAAAGTGCAAGTGTTTTCCTTTTGTGACTGCAGTCACCGTCCACAGTGATTTTGGAGCCCAAGAAAATAAAGTCTGTCCCTGTTTCCACTGTTTCCCCATCTATTTACCATGAAGCTATGCAACCAGATGCCATGATCTTAGTTTTTTGAATGTCAAGTTTTAAAAATCAGCTTTTTCACTCTCCTGTGTCACTCTCATCAAGAGGCTCTTTAGTTCCCCTTTGCTTTCTGCCGTTAGAGTGGTATCATCTGCATATCTGAGGTGGTTGATATTTTTCCTGGCAGTCCTTAGTTCCAGCTTGTGATTCATCCAACCTGGCATTTCGCATGATGTACTCTGCATATAAGTTAAATAAACAGGGTGACAACATACAGCCTTGACATACTCCTTTCCTAGTTTTGAACCAATCCATTGTTGCATGTCTGGTTCTAACTGTTGCTTCTTGACCTGCATACAGATTTCTCAGGAGACAGGTAAGGTGGTCTGGTAGTCCCATCTCTTTTAAGAATTTTCCACAGTTTGTTGTGATCCAAGTCAAGGACTTTGGCATAGTCAATGAAGCAGAAGTAGGCATTTTTGTTGAATTCTCTTGCTTTTTCTGTGATCCAGTGGATGTTGGCAACTTGATCTCTGGTTCCTCTGTCTTTTCCAAATCCGACTTGTACATCAGGAAGTTCTCAGTTCATGTGTTGTTGAAGCCTAGCTTGAAGGATTTTTGAGCATTACCTTGCTGTCATGTGAAATGAATGCAATTGTCCATGACAAACTAGACAGTGTATTAAAAAGCAGAGACATCACTTTGCCAACAGCAGTCCTTATAGTCAAAGCTCTGGTTTTTCCAGTAGTCATGTACAAATGTGATAGTTACACCATAAAGAAGGCTGAGTGCCAAATAATTGATGCTTTTGAACTGTGGTGCTGAAGAAGACTCTTGGGAGTCCCTTAGACTGCAAGGAGATCAAACCAGTCAATCCTAAAGAAAATCAACCCTGATTGTTCATTGTAGGGACTGATGCACCAATACTTTGTGCATCTGATGTAAAGAACCAATTCATTGGAAAAGACCCTGAAGCTGGGGAAGATTGAGGGGAAGAGGAGAAGGGGGTGGCAGATGAGATGGTCAGATAACATCAGTGACTCAATGGACCTAAGTTTGAGCAAACTCCAGGAGATAATAAAGGACAGGGAAGCCTGGCTTGCTACAGTCCACGGTGTCGCAGAGTTGTACATGACTTAGTGACTCAACAACGAACAACAAATTTGTGTTGTTATTTAGTTGCTGAGTTGTGATCCACATAGTCAAAGGCTTTAGTGTAGTAGTTGAAGCAGAAGTACATATTTTTCTGGAATTCCCTTGCTTTCTCTATGATCCAACAAATGTTGGCAATTTGATCTCTGGTTGCTCTGCCTTTTCTAAACCCAGCTTCTACATCTGGAAATTCTTGGTTCACGTACTGCTGAAGCCCAACTTGAAGGATTTGAGCATTATCCTGCTAGCCTGTGATATGAGCACAGTTGTACAGGAGAAGTCCAAAATTAAGATATTAGCAGAGTTTTGTTCCCTCTGAAATCTACAGGGAAGAATCCTTCCTTTTTCCTAACTTCAGGTGGTAGCCCTCAATGTTTGGTGTTCCTTGACTTGCCAGTTGCTTCCCTCCACTCTCTCACTCTCTCATCAAGATGGCTTTCTTTCTACTGTTTCTGTCTTCTGTTCTTGAATTAGGACCCAGCCTAATAACCTCATCTTAATTTGATTTTATCTGTAGAGACCCTTTTTCAAATAAAGTCACATTCGTGAGTACTGGGGTTAAGACTTCCAACATTTTTTGGGGGGGAGGGGGGAGATATAATTTAATCCATAACAGATGGTCAGAGCCTTCCAGCAGAGATTCCCCCTAATGGAATCAGCTATGGCATGTGGGTGGGCAGGCAAGAAACCCAGTGGGCCTTCAGAGGAGTGGAATGTCTCTTTTTTCTGTCACTTATGTTTCCAAATAAATTCAAATTCTCAGGTGCTTGGAGATAAGGATTTCAGCATATCTTTTGGGTGGATGCAGTTCAACCCTTAACAGCAGTGTTTCAAACATAATGTACTTCTACCCGACTTTATTATTTCTTACCGTTGTGTCGTATTTGTCCCAGATCTTTTTTTTTTTTTAATAGAATTAAAGATCATGGCCAAGCCAAATAAATGGTATACTATACAGATTTTTCAGTTTGCTTTTTGTACTGAAGATTATTGATATTTACTCAGTTGGAACATTAATTCCTTTATTCTGATTGCTATATCGTATTTCATTGTGTGTGTGTCTCAGGTTACCTATTTTTTTGTTGGTAGACATTTATCTTTTCTTTTTCCCCCCTAAATTTTGCTATTACAAAGATTGCTTCAGTGTCTGTTGTACTTCATGCAGATATGTATGAGAGTTTTTCACAAGTGGAGGTGGAGTTGCCTAGAAATTGAACTTCTAGCATAAATCTTCATCTTTACATTTTGGCAAGATACTCTCCAAGATGTTACAGTAATATATATTCATTAACAGTATATAAGAGTTCCAGTTTGTCCTAGTTTATTGCTAACACTTTGTATTGTCACACTTAAACATTTTTTGCAAATTTGGTATGTGATAAGATACCACATTGCTGTTGTAATTATCATTGGTTTTTTTTTTTTTAAGGGATAAATTGTATATTTATAAAATGCTTAACACTAGTAGTCACCCAATAATTGTTACCTTTCTCTTTCCTCCCTACATCCACCAGGGTACGTTTAATCTATGATAAAATTAATTCGTTCTTTCTTTTTCCTAGACATTTTTAGTCTTTTTGCAAGTGAATCCGGGAGCTATGTTATACGGGAAGAAATGGAAAGAATGCTTCATGTGGTGGATGGTAAAGTCCCAGATACACTCAGGAAGTGTTTCTCAGAGGTACATTTAAAGATTTAAATTGCATCCCTACCTGTAGACAGAGTATTAAATCTTAGTTGTAAAATGATTTTAGCTGTGATGAATAGACGTTTATGTGTGGCATATTCTTGACATTTTTGTGTCTAATGATTGAAGTTTTTTAACGATTTGTGTGCTAGGCTCAAAGGTCCATGACCCACACTACTGCTATGTTTGTGAATTTGAAAATTCCCAGTTCTACTGTAAAGGCAACTATCTCTACTTATGGTGTAATGAAACATATTCCCCCACTCTCACATCAGCATGCGCACACACACTCACAGGTGATCCTGCAAACACCTGAGCATTGCTTCAGTTGTGGTGCTCTTCGTTGCTTTTCCTCATGAGCACGTAGAAATAGCACTCTTTGGCCTTGAGCTGTAGGTGACCTCTGTGATCCATCAATGCCTAGTTTATCATGAATGCATTTTATAATTTATTTTTTTAATTGGTTTGCATAGTGAAGTATTTGGGTTTTAAAAACCGGTCATTTTCCTGTTTTCATAAATAATATATTCTCATTGTAAAAAAAACTTTAACAACAAAAAATGTGTATCTTTAACAGAGAAAATTTTTCTTTAATTTCTTTTCAGAGGTCTGCTCACATGGGAAAAGTCCCAAGAGGTGGCAAAATAAAGCTCTTTTACAAGTTTTTGATCCTTTCCTGCAGCACTCAGTGCTAATTTCTTATGGTCATTTGAGTCTTTCACTGCTGTTGGTTTTATTCAGAGTTTTTATTCAGTTTAGTTTAGTCACCTTCCTAACTATATAAGCATTGATTATTAATACTCCAGCCATGTGCATATATCTGGTTCTAATGTCTGTTAGGACTCTCTGTCTTTAGCTTTTCATCACTCTGGCTTTAAGTTTCCTCTGTGTTGATAGCACCTGGAGATTTCCCTTTCTTGCTTTTCAGCAGTTTTTGGTAGTAGTTATGCTGTTACATTTTACTCAGCGATTCTACATGTTTGGTGCTAGAAGGATTGTCTTTTGCATTTTTGCTTGTCTTACTGACTGGAAGTTGCTGTGATGGTATTTCAGTACCTTAAGACAAACTACATCATATTTTTTGTTTTTCCTCTCTAAAATTTGCTGGCCACATTTTATTAGGAAAAAAAAGAGTTATCTAATCTTTGCAAGCCTGATAAATTGGATTTTTCACAGAAATAGCAAGTGGTTTGCTTATTTTAGGGGAGAATATTTTTTTCATTTTAATAAGGTTTATGCAGACATTCCTATTTTATAGACAGGGATTTAAGTTGGTTAGCCACCCAGTTCTCCTAAAATTTAGGCACAATAGCAGGTACATATGCTAAGATAATAATTAGTGCTATACAGAAAAATTAAGTAGACTACAGGAGACAGGTGGTGATAGGGAGGCGATGACCAGGTATAGGTATTTTTTTATAGGATGGTTAGGAACAGCTTATAAGAGAAAGGGACATTAGAACAAAGAATTTTAAGGAAATGACTATGGTAATAAATGGCTAGGGAAGTCTTATATGAAGAACAAGGTCTTTGGAAGAGAGGAGATCAAAGAAATGAGAGGCCAAGGTTTGGGGATACTCATGTATGTAGCTATTTACATCATTAGGTACTTATGGTTGTTTAAAGAAAAAAAAAAGACTGTGAATGGGCTAATTTTACCTAATTCAACTATTTGATGTATTTACCTACATAATTTTTGAGTAAGGTATATGATGTGATCCACACTCTTGCTTTTTGAGTTACCATGTTTCCAGTAACTTGAGATGAAGGAAATCTACATAGGAGTTACACTCGTTTTTTTCTTACTGAATTTTTTTGGTTGTTGATTCTCATGGTGGGAATTCATACTTTACATTGCTCTTCAAAGATGTATCAATTTCAGAAGTTTGTTTGTTTTTAATTGCCTTTTATAGTACTGGAAGTTTTTTCCTAGACTGCTATTGTGACAGTTTATAAAAGGAGATTTCCGTTTTGCTTCCTTATTTAGAGAGACTCAAGAACATAGAAAGTCATGTTTGACAGATAGGATTTTAGTACTGCCAGTTATATGGAGTGATCCTAATGGACAAGCAGATTTGAGAGGTCACTTTGTATTTCACTAAGTTGCCAGGCAGCATATATAGTGGGTAATTCAAGCACAGAGACTTTGGAGCTTAGGCTGTTTGGGTTCAGTTCTATCTCTGCCACTGTATAACCTTGAACATACAGCTTTCAGAGCTTCAGTTTTCCCATGTGTAAAATGGGGATAATAGTATCTCCTATTATTGCTGAGGGTTGCTTGAGGATTAAATGAGTATAAAAATACTTCGAATTGTGCTTACGGCATTGTAAATACTCATTAAATATTAACTATATGTGAAGTTGTTAGAAGTACCTTATTATAATGGGCAGTTTTTTCCTTAGTGGTACATGAAGGTGCATCTTATAATAGCATCTTAGCTTCATAAAACCATTAAAACTACCGTGTTCACTGAATATAAGATGCTTTTGATTAATAAGATGTGCTTTTATGTATTACTATAAAGAACAAAAAAACTACCAGTTACAATTAAAGGGTATTATTGATTTTAAGACTTAGCCCAATGTCAGAGATGTTAACGTGTAAAAATGTGCATCAGCTTTTGGAATTTATGCTGTAAACCCTCTTTGTAGACCAAATATGGGTAGAGAAAGAAAATGGGTCTAATCCTCTAAACATGCAGCAATGTCCTCATGTCCCTGCAGCAAGTCTGAGTGCCATATTCCTCCATTTAGAAAACTAGACTTCCAGTGTTTCTTATTTATTTATTGGCTGCGCTGGGTATTCGTTGCTGTGTGTGGACTTTCTAATTGCAACCAATGAGGGCTCTTCTATGTTGTGATGCATCAGTTTCTCTTTGTTGTGGAACACAGATTCTAGGCGCACGGGCTTCAGTAGTTGCAGCACACAGGCTCAGTAATTGTGGCCCATGGGCTTAGTTGCTCCTTGGCACGTGGGATCTTAGTTCGATAACCAGGGATTGAACCTGTGTCCTCTGCATTGGCAGGTGTTTTCTTAACCACTGGACCACCAGGGAAGTCCCTCCAATGTTGTCTTGATTGCTCGGATTGTACTGTTAAATATTCTGAAACCGTGAAGCTAAGCATATTACTGTACTTAATAGGATGCTACTGCTGCTGCTGCTAAGTCGCTTCAGTCATGTCCGACTCTGTGCGACCCCATAGACGGCAGCCCACCAGGTTCCCCCGTCCCTGGGATTCTCCAGGCAAGAACACTGGAGTGGGTTGCCATTTCCTTCTCCAGTGCATGAAAGTGAAAAGTGAAAGTGAAGTCGCTCAGTCCTGTTGGACTCTTAGCGACCCCATGGACTGCAGCCTACCAGGCTCCTCCGTCCATGGGATATTCCAGGCAAGAGTACTGGAGTGGGGTGCATGCTACTAACAATATAGAAATTATTTCTACCATAACTCTTTTAGGTTATAAGTTATTTGTATCACTTAATAGCTCCATCAGGATTATAGCTACTAGGTTCTTGAGTGTCGTTCTTCATTATATTTCTGTGTGGGTTGCTTCTGCCTTTTTCTCATAGAAATATCTGGCCCTTACTCTTGTCTTCCAATCAAAGAGATTGAGTTGCACAGCCATATGATGTTTTTTCTCAGCCTGGACACTTTTTCTCCACAGATTTAGCAAGACAAGTACTTGGAAAGAAAGCAAAGAAATAGAAACCTCCTTGCTTCTTTTTTGTATTCTAGTTGACTTGTGAATGTATGTTTTCAGTGATGACTTTTGGAAGGGGACTCCTGGATAGTTTTTAATTCACCAGTGAAATTTAAAATATTTAAAATATTGTTTATATTCCATACACATTGATTAAAATGTGCTAATTCTAACCAATGGAAGTGTTGAAGAAGCAAAATAAAGCAAATGAAATTGCTTTTATTAAGTATTGAAAGAAATGCAGTTTACTGATTGCAAAATGTACCTTAGCAAATAAAATGTGACTTAGTAGAAATTCATTTCTTTAATGAATTGATAAAATAATTTGCAGTTAGCATATAGGTTTTATACAAATAAAAGTTCTGAAATAGTCAATTTGAAAACAGTTTTTTTTTCCAAATACATATATAACCTATAATGGTATGTAGATTATTCTTCTATAGATAGTAGAAGGGAGTAAATGTCAATTAAATGCAAATATAAAATTGTGTAAGTTCCAAGTAAGAGGTACCTTAAAGTTTAACTAAGCCTGTGTTTTCTTGTTTTAATTTTAGGGTGAAAAGGTAAACTATGAAAAGTTTAGAAATTGGCTTCTTCTAAACAAAGATGCTTTTACCTTCTCTCGTTGGCTACTGTCTGGAGGTGTATATGTGACCCTCACTGATGATAGTGATACTCCCACTTTCTACCAAACTCTGGCTGGAGTCACACATTGTAAGTAATGGCATTTTATTGTGCTCTGTTCACTTTTTAATACAATTGCCTGATAATATGAGAATATGCCTATTATCAGTGTGGCTTTTTTTTTCTTCCAAAGTGTAATAACATGGAATGCTGGAGGCTTGAGTACATAACTGAAGAAGATAAACTTTTTTTTGTTTACTCACTGAATACTTTTGTACTCCAAACATGTTAGTTTTTTCCCCCTACATCAAGCAATTCTCCAGTGCTCTGTGGACACCAGCTGGGTGTCCTACACTTTAGTTCAGTTCTGACACTGCCTGCCTGGGGTTAGCACAGACCCACCCCACACGTTAGGTCTCAGTCCCAAAAGACTGCCCCTCTGCCCTCCCCGCTTCAGATGCTAAGTCCAGACTGTGACCTGTGCTTCTGACTGACCACCTATAAATGAGACTTCCCATGACCCTTTCCTTGGGTTTGGTAATTTACTAGAACTTCAGGAGACATTTACCTGTACTGATTTAATATACAATAAAAGCTATATTAAAGGATACAGATGAATAGCTGGGTGAACGGATACACAGGACGGACTCTGGAAGGGTCCCAAACACGGGTGCTCTGTCCACATGGAGCTGTGTTGCTCCCCTCTTGGCATGTCGATGTGTCTAGACGCCCTCCAGACCCTGTGCTTTGGGGTTTTTGTGCAGGCTTTGTTACATAAGCATTATCAGTTATTAACTGTATTTCTAAATCTTTTCTTCTTTCCAGAAAATGGGGGGGAATGGGGTTGAAAGTTCCAAGTTTCTAGTTTATGGCTTCGTCTTTCTAGTGACCAGCCCCTTTCCAGGAACCTACCGAGAGTTAACTTCAGGCATCAGAAAAAGGTTCCCGTCACCCAGAAAATTCTGAGGGATTTAGGAGCTCTGCACCAGACATTCCTGTCACTCAGGAAATTAAAGAAATTTCCTCAAAGAAAATATTAGCAAGAACTGGGATCAATATCACTTATTTCACAGCAGCCCTCTACTAACTGTTCTTGACCAAACTGTATTAGTTCCCTAGGGCTGCTGTAGCAAATTGACACAATCCATAAACTGAAAAAACAGAAATCTACTCTCTCACAGTTCTGGAAGCTGAAATCAAAGTGTTAATAGAGCCATGTTCCCTCTGAAGATCCCAGGGAAGCATCTTTCCTTGCCTCTCCCAGCTTCTTGTGAACCCAGGCTTTGCTTCACTTGTGGCAGCATAATTCTAGTTTTTGCCTCTGTTTTCATACAGCCTTCTGTGTGTGTGTGTGTCTGTGTGTATGTCCTCTCCCCTTCTTTTAAAGACACCATGCATTGGATTTAGTGCCCAGTCTAAATTTAGGATGATTTTAACTCTAGAGCCCTAATTCATTACATCTGCAAAGACCCTATTTCCAACTGAGGGAGGTCACATTCTGTGATTCCAGATGATAGTGAACTTCCGAGGGATGCTGTTTAGTCCACCACAGCACAGGCCTGAGTGTTAACTTCTACTGTTCTTTTCTGTGGTTACAGAAATGGATGTACTCTGGGCTTTTGCTTATGCTACTTCTTAACACTAGAAGGAATGCTTGTCCCTTTTTTTCTTCCTGTAAACCCTAGTCATCTTTGAAGATTAAGTCACATGCTGCTTGCTTTGCATAAAATGTTTTCTTGCCTTTCTGTGAGAAATCATCTCTCCTTCCTCTGAACTCTCATAACACTTTCTTTTGTACTCTTCTTGGATGAACTTACCACTTTCATCTTTGTATTTTAATTATTTATAACATTTTATTTATTTGTACATGTCATTTCTCTTAAATCATAGAGAGTCTGTATTATTCTTTTATTCACTCTCACTGTCAAGCCTTAAATAAGTATTTGTTGACCTAGTAGAGGACCTTGGTTATCAAGCACTGTTTGTATTTATTTTTTCTTGTAATTTATGAGTTGGCTACTAATTATTCACCAGCTGCTTTCCCTCTCATTTTTATTCCATTGTTACCAAAAATTCTGACACATAAATTCTGGCATGAATAGGTAATTAATTTGATGATCCTACTTTTTCAGCACTACCGTCTTTATTTTGAGAGGAAAGCCTTTTTAAAAAAATCGTTCTGTATAAAAAAATTAGGAAATCTTTTTATACTTTAAGCTCTATCATTGTCAGTCATATGGATGTTCTGCTGAACTCTTGCTTTCATTTGTAATTGTATGGTAAATTATTTTTCTATTATTGGCTAAGGGTGTGATTACTTTCCTTGAATGACTCACATTATAGAAAAAATTGTCCTGGTACTTAATGAAATGGTAAACAAGACTTTAAAAAAAAAGTATTTATTTTTGGTTGCTCCTCGTCTTTGTTGCTGTGCTCAGGCTTTCTCTAGTTGCGGATGTGGGCTCTAGGGCTCTCAGGCTCCAGGAGTTGTAGCGCACGGTCTCAGTTGCTCAGCATGTGGAATCTTCCCAAACCAGGGATGGAACCCGTGTCCCCTGGATTGGCAGGCGAATTCTTATCCACTGTGCCACTAGTGCAGTCCCATAAACAAAACTTGATTCAAGATTTTTGCAGTAGCCTATTGCAGTAGTGGAGAGAGATTGGTCTTACCTCCAAATGTTACAGGAAAGCAACTTACAGCCCAGGAACAAGGTGAGGTGATCAGTGGAAGGAAAATTACTAAGAGAAATCACCAAGGGTGGGGCAATTCTTACTGAAGGCGGGCCAAAGACTTATTTGTTGAATATGTGGTATTCCTTGATCAGGTATCAAGGGTGGGGGATGATGCAGCAGGGTTCTTGGCTAAGATTCAGCTGGGCAGGCCAAAGACAGAATAAGGGGCCAACTTCTGGGCCTAGTAGAAAAGAGGGCTCAAAGGAGTGGGACTAAATTTTAGTCAAGGAGAGAGTCTCTGTCAGTTGCTTCAAGTTGAATTAGTCTGACACACTTTGCAAATGCAAATGCTGCTTATTGCTTGTTTTTCAAAGCACTGTGTCAAAGATTACAGGCTTGTGTAAATTTAATCAGTCAAAATAATTATCAAAATATTAAAAATGTTATCCCATTATATGACTCCATTTTAATTTGAAAATGACCTTTTAATTTTTTATCAGTTGGGAAGATTTTTGGATTTTTAATGGCATCTAAAAGTACGTGACCTTTGCCTTGTTAAAAAATATTTTATCTTGAATTTATGCATTGTTTCATCTGAAATAATGACCTGATTTCTAAACTGAGTGACTTTCTCCTAGGCTTATTGTACCTACTAATATCACTGCAGCATTTTAGCACTATTGACAGTTTTCTTGAAATTCTCTTCTCCCTTGATTTTGAAACATTGTAGCTTTAAGTTATTTCTCATGGATCAGCCTTTAGCTCTATTCTATTCTTAACTGGCATGCATACTTTTGCTTCATTACAGCCATTTCTTTTGCTTCATGTCTTTGCAGGTGATACCTAGTGAAGTTTACTGATCTTGAGGTATCAAACTGTATATTCATTTTAATAAATGCCTCCTGGATGTGTATTCTAATATGTTAATTTCATATCTAACACCTTACCTTACTTCAGTCTATAGGTCAAAAAAAGCAAACATCCTGTTCCTCCTATGATTTTTTTTTCTCTCTTTTTTTAAATTGAAGTATAGTTTTTGCTTTTTTTTTGCCAAATTGTGTCCAACTCTTTTTGCAACCCCATGGACTGTAGCCTGCCCGACTCCTCTGTCCATGGAATTCTTCAGGCAGGGGTACTGGAGTGGGGAGCCATTCCCTTCTCCGGGGATCTTGCCGACCCAGGGACTGATCCTGGGTCTCCTGCATTGCAGGCAGGTTCCTTACTGTCTGAGCCACCAGGGACGCCCTTACATCTCTGTAACTAGGCTCAAACACATTCTTATTAACCGAGATGGTAAGCGCTGCAGTCAACTCATTTTTACCAACGAGAAATAAGCTTGTTTATTCCTCTCGTATAAAAATCCTTGCTTCAGGATTCGACGAACTCTTGGAAAGCATTTTCTGGATCCTGCTGATTGTGAAAGCATTTTCACTGCAAAAGAAGTTGTTGAGATACTTGAAGAAGTAGTAGTCAGTTGGCTGAACATCGGATGAATGTGGCAGATGAGGCAAAACTTAGTAGCCCAATTCATTCAACTTCTGAATTACTGGTTGTGTGATGGTCGGTCGAGTGTTATGGAGAAGAATCAGGCTCTTTCTGTTGACCAATGCTGGCTGCAGGCACTGCAGTTTTAGGTGCATCTCATCGATCTGCTGAGTATAGTTCTCAGGTATAATGGTTTCACCAGGATTCAGAATGCTGTGGTGAAGCAGACTGATTTCAGACATGCACAGCAGTAAATGGCAGTTTAACAGTAAGCAGCAGCGAGCAATAGCTGGAAGCAAGGTCTTAGTTTCCCAGACTGGGAGTCCTAACCACTGGACCACAGGGGCCAGCAGTGAAGGCTAAAGTCCCTTCCTAGTCCTTGCCTAACTAGTTAAAAACGAATTCAGGCAAGGAGGAAGAAGGTAAAGAGTAGAGTAAGAAGTTTTTGTCTTCCTTCAGGCCAATCATCTTGCTTTGTTCCCCTCCCCCCACTAATTTGTATCAGGACTCTCCTCGGGTGTACATGCACCCCTTTAGCCAAGATGAATCTTGAAGCAGACTTCTGGGAGGAGCAAGACTCACTATAGCCTGGAATTACCCTCTGACTTTTGATCCCAAGAAGCCTTTGTGGAAATGTATAGTGTCTCCCTTATCCTAAAAAGGGGGAAGCGGAGATCCTTCAGTCTTTACTCAGAAAGAGTTTTGCCTCTCAGTCCTTGCCATAATTATTTCCTCGCCGTAATTATATTTCCTCAAGATGTTTACAAGAGAAAAAGACTGGCTGTTTACCTTGTTTCTGTTGTTACTACCATTTCGGTGGGCGATTGTAAATTCCTCAACTGGATCCCACATAGCTCTTGTCTCAGGAAATGCAGACAGGAGGCTGGCTGATTGTAAATGTCCAACTTGGAACCCATCTGTCTCCTATCTTA